ACTCCAGGGCATCCGTATACTAAATTATATCGATGATTGGTTGATTTTGGCTCAATTAGAGCAGACGGTGGTTCAACATCCAGATGTCGTTCTCGCCCATATGAAAAAGTTGGGGTTGAGACTAAACGCCAAGAAAAGTGTGTTTTCTCCATTACAGAAGTGAACTATCTGTAAGAAATGCATTGTTGTTTCATCTTCTCTAGACACTTTGTTATTGTCCTGGCTTTTCATTTCAGATATCATTAGGCTTTGCTAATTACTACCATGTTCTCTGCTTTGTCTCTTTCTGGGGGGCTGGGACCACCATTAGAGGCAGCGTCAGCCTCATCAGAGAGGTGTGCGTTGGCGAGATGTATAATCTAGCCTCCTTGCACATTGCATGTGCCTCATTAGTGAGTGGGTGGACCCTTTGATTACTCATTACAGTTAATTATCATTCAATTAAACAAGGTCAACAGGCTTAATAGCCTGCTCATCAGCCTCTCAGGGAATTGTGTTTTAAGGTGCCCATCACGACCAAAACTGGAAATGTGCTCTGCAGATCTCTGCGATTAATGCTGTTGTAACAACCACAGCACATGTACATAGAAAGCCAATACAGTTGGTAAAGACATCTCATACAGTGCCTGTCCACATCTTTATTGGAGTAGTCGAGTGGTCTGACAGGAAGTCTTCAGGAAGCTACTTTGAAACTGTAGTTTGGCAGGCTACACACAAATACTAAAGTAGTTCAAAACGAGTCAAGTTACCGATTTAAAAATGAAGCTACACTACAAATACAAAAATGACAAGTAGCTACTTAACCTTTGTGCTGTACTGAAAATCCTTTAATTTTGAGCTTGAGTGAAAAATACATTGTTTGTGGACAAATTAGGCAATATTCACTAAAAAAGAGATTAATGAGGCCTATGATGAATCAGTTCCAAAAACAAATACAGTGTGTAAGTAAAGTCAGTAAGTCAAAAGCGATAACATTAACTAGCATTTTTGGGGAAAAGAAAATCCTGTCTGGGCCAAAATGACCCAACATGAGGATTAAAAAGGAAGCTGTTTAAAGGAGAAGTGTGTCATTTCTGCACCACTAGTGGCACAAAAAGGAATTGCAGTGTGTTAGTTTCAATGGGACAAGACGTCATTGGCTCAGCTAATGCTGTGAATTTGGATTATTTGTTTGTCCAACCAATGACAGACAGGGACAACTGTTTGAAATGTTTGTGAAAACAGCCATCATTTTTGGGAGGAATTCTGGAAGAAGTGGATTTTATTTCAATGTATTTTGATCAGTGATATTAATTAATTTACATTAAATGAACTAGTTCACTATAATTGATAGCACTACATGAACTAAATTACCTAGTTCACTAAACTTAACAACACTAATGTACATATTGTATGATTATTTTCTCAACTCACTCTACACCCATGGGTGCAATACATTTATGTGACAGTTTAGAAAATAATTAAAATGCTACATGCTATTTGGTTGAGAAAAAGAAAAAAATAACTCATTGCTGAAAACAAGCTAAATTATTTTGAAAGGTTGTATCGGTGTTGCTACTTCTAGTTACTTCTGTTAGCATCAAAAGATCCAGGTTGTGTGTGCCTCACTAGTCGCTTCTGTGTTTGCTCGTCAGCGAAGATTGAACAGCACAGGAGATTATATTTGCCTGATATCTGTTTACAAATTCCTAATGATGAGAGAAATGACTTGGTAAATAACAAAGACATCCAGCAGATTGGCTTTCAGGGGATACTCTCCCCTGCTCTCCTGTGTAACTGCTGCTCTCAATTAAGACAACAATTGTTTTCACTGGATTGAGGTGCAGGATTAGTCAGCCTATCGGTGAATGAAAGGAAGGGCGTATGTACATGTGTGTGTGGGGGAGCTAGTTTGAAAGAGGAAGCTAATGGAGGTCATGTTAGAGGAGACTCTAATGTGTTTCTTTCTAACCTCATACCTTCAGAAAGCATGCACACACACTCCCCTCTCACAAAATACTTTCAAAGCCATTATTTATGTGGGTCAGTGCCTCGGCTCTTACAAGTAGCTTTCAAGTCACCCTAAAATGCGTACTGGCACAGACAAATCATGACTCAGGTGCACACTAGCCCCTTTTCCCACAACAGATTGCAGACTCTGAGAGCTGTCCCAATCTGGAAGCATTCATAGCATAAAGTCAGTTTTGGTCAGGGATTCTGGTTTCTAACCTGGTGTTGGTCTTGGACCAGGAAGCATTATGCCAGAAGTAAACCAACAATTGTATGTGTGAATTGCTTGCTATGAATTGTATTCATCGTAACTTCATGTCATATAAAAAGTAGCCCAATATTGCACAAAGATGCTAATTCAAAGTATCCATGTTTTTGTAAGGCTAATAAAGCAGGCTTTGTCCCCTCAAAGTAAATTACTTGTACATCATTGCTTGGCTCTCAAGAAAACTCTGTCCATTTGTGAGAGCACTTGCCGATCCAAGCTCCAGCTGAGTTAAGACACAAGAGCAGCAGCACTTTTGGTAGAAAAGGGCAATTGGAAGCTGACTGAAACTCACACATTTAGACACATGTACATGCACATGAATTGTTTCATGAGGAGTCGTGCCGTGTTTCTGTACAGGTAATAAAGTCAGTCTGTGTTCCAGCATGCTGTGAACTCTTTGATTCCTTCTAACTCTCACAACTTCAGAGAGAGAGAAAGATAATAATTTCCTAAAAAAGAGAGTGAGTATATCAAATATAGTACCAGAGAATGGACAAACGGATCCATTACCACATTTTTTTTTCTCCATATGAGATCTGTGCCGTCTAACCTCTCTCTGTCAAACAGGAAACCTTGTTGAACCTGAAGTCTATAAAATGCATGAACAGCCTCACCGCCTTGGCCCTGAGTTTGGTATTCTGATGGTTTTGGCAGATGAACAGTAATTGGACTGTAATGAACAGTCTTGTGCTGCCTAATGGGATATTGTTCTGCTTCACCTGTTAAACATTCAAACTGAATATCATACATTAGCGTCATAGCTATAAATTACTCAATATTTAAAATTAGGAGGTATAGATTCGTAGTTTTTTCTCTGTTCCTTTTATACAGCTCTTTCCACCTTCCAATTTTCCAGACAGCTGATGAAAGAGATCTCTCACTCTCTCTCCTTCCTGCATAGATTAAACTGAGGTGCTCAGCAAGAAATTAGGAATCGATTATTGTAAGTCCTATGTGCTTGGTTAACCTCCTTCAACATTGTGTGCGTGTAAGTGTTTAAGGGCACAAACACAGCGCCCCAGGTAACCCATAAATTCCTTTAAATCCGTGCAGTTGACACCGCTGTTTAAAGATTTACTGTGATCGTACCGGAGACCCCAAAGACGTTGAAATTGCTCTGCTTTTTAAATCAACATTAAGGGTATCTGTTCTCTCCCTGCCCCTAAGGGATTTTGAGCTCAGATAAAATTGATAGAAGACAATGGGGGAATCTCCAGTGCTCCTGACTGGATCGTCATAGGAAAGAGAAATCACAAATGAGATCTCTTTACAGGATGGTGCTCCAATGGGAATTAGAGTTCAAATTTGATCTGCTCCAACGGGAGATGTTCAGGTATGTTTAATTAGGGCTTGAACTAAATTCTGCAGGAAGGTGGTCTTCCAGGAGCAGGATTGGACACCTTTGAGCTTGAAGAAATAATTGCCATTGGCTTGGACACTTTTGTCCTAGAGCAGAGCTGCTCAATTATATCCCTGAAAGGGTCACAACCCAGAGAGTTTAGTTCCTACCCTAATTAAACGCATCAGAACCATCAGTTGCTATCTAATATAACACCCAGATTTTTGACTGTAGAGGAAGTAACCGTGCATCCGTCTAATCAAGGTCTTCTTGCTTGATTATTACAAGCGGGTCTGTTTGATTAGGGTTAGAACTGTGGGTCATGGCCCTCCAGGAAGATAACTGAATAGACCTGTCCTAGAGTCCATATGGCAATCAGAATAAATGGAGAGCATTGTTGATGAAGTCTTTGAAAAAGTCCCTAATAATCTCACGTATTTCCTCTAGAATTTTCAAAAAGATTTCACAAACTGTTTCTCACAAAGATTCGATTTTTAACACAAGCACCTAATTTTTAAGACGTCATGTCAAGCAAAAGCAAGTAAAAAAAAAAAAAGTATTTTAAGACTCTACCCCATTCCACTGTGCTGCTCCTAGCAGTTTCTGAATGCATCCTTACAGTGCAGTTCAGAAATACATTTTTGAGCAGTATGCATGTTCAAGACGTTATACATGTATGTTTCTATTTATATTTCTCTGAGGAATTTTCAGAGCATCATGATTCCATTTAGTCTCCTGTGCTATGAAAGAGTAACCTCTTAGCAATACATTTTCCCTCTAGTTAGAGTTCAGACAAATACCAGTACGCACTTCTAGCAGGTTACTTAATCCGGATGCTGTTCCCCTAATCATTGTTAACAAAGTGTGGAAAAGCCGTATGAAAAACCCATCTTAGTCATCGCTGTAATCTACTGAAGGCGGTAAAAGCATGCAAGCTCCAAGTCTCAGTTTCTCTGTCACAATCAAATAAGTGTTAAAGACACATCTTGGATCAGGGTGTAAGTGGTGCATGTGATTCCTCAACCTGTATCTGCCAGTTTTACCATTTCTAATGTAGCAGGGTAGCGAACGCTCTTAACACGTCAAGCTATTTCCAACTTCAAAGCAATTGCTAGGGCTTCAGACACAACATTGTGTGGCACGAAGCCAATATACTTTGCAATAAGTGGAGTCTTTGAAATGACCCTGAGGGAGGAAGAAAATAGCTGTAATGAATAAAGAAAGGAGAGAGAATGGAATGGATTTCAGGGAGGTTTGGTGTGGACAAGCCTCTTGAAAAAGGAATTTCATCCCTCTCTGGAAAATAAGTGCTCTAATGTATTGCATGTAAAGAGTGCAGCTGTGTGTGTGTGTGTTTCTCAATCCCCTTGAACCAGATCCAGCCAGGAATCTTGGGAGATAAAGAGTGAAGGACGGATCCTGGAAGAGATAAATAGAAGGTAAAAAGCCAAAACTGCCCAGCAAAGCAAAGCCAGCATTCGGGGTGGTGTTAATCAGCTTACAGACTTTATTAAAGAAAAGCAGATAACAACTGAGGGGTTACATCTGATTACAAACAAGAGGTGGCAGACCGTGTGTGGGATGGGGGTGTCGCTATGGGGTGTGAGGTTTAGTGAAGATCACATACTGTGAGGTGCTGGCAAGCAGAATTATACCTTCAAATTTCTTTGTTAAATCTTGCATGTCTTTCAACTCTTGATGATGCCAAGCCACGGTGGTATAACTTAGTGAGTAAAGATCTCAGGAAGTAACTATATAGTTTCTGAAAAGAGCAAGCCTCAAACGGTCACCACTGTGCACTTGGCCAATAATCGTCACACCATATTGCCTGAAAGGTATTGGCCTAGTAATGTCATATGGTGTTGTTCTATGGCTATGCTGCATAAAAAATAAAAATCAAGTTTAGTAAAATACTGTAGATTGGCTAAATGAAAGAGCTGCTACACTTTGATACAGGCACAAGAGGAGACAGTTAAGCTGTCATATTTGTGCTCCTGAAGGCATGTAACCCAAGCTACACAATCAGAACATATTGAAATGTACAGCTATGAGATCATTTTAGACAAGGGGTATCCAATCTTGCTCCTGAAGGGACAATGTTCTGCAGAGTTTAGCTCCAACTAGCTCTAATACACTTGCCTGGAAGTTTCTAGATAGTCTGTGTTTCTAGTGACCTTAGCTGGCTCCACTGTGTTTATTTAGGGTTTAAGCTAAACTCTGCAGGACAATGGCCCTCCATGAACAGATCTCAACACCCTTGTTGTAGAACAATAATTTCACAATGGATGGGGCTACAACAGAAATAGATTCCAAGTTATTAACAAAATGTTCCGTTGATCATCATCGGATTGACTGATAAAATTAAAAACATAGAGGAGAGGTTGTTTAATATTGTCACATCCGGTCTGGATATAATGTTGTGCTGTTACTATGTAGTTAGACAGATAAACTGAAGTTTTAAAGTTCCACTGTTGTGTTTGGTGGAGTTTGGCTTGTCAACTGGTCAGGTTGTGAGACCAGTTGGCTGACTAGCTTAAACCATCTACGACAAGCAAACCTCTGTAGGCTGGTTTAAGCCGTAATATCTGTCAATCGCATGCAAAGAAAGCAGGAAACCAGCTCCACATAAATATAACACACTCTCCCTTCCCACACCATGACTAGCAATCTGCCTGACCACTCTTCCAACTCCACGCCAGCTTCAGTGAGACATTCAGAGAACATTCAGATGATACGCTAGAAACGAAGCGGGTTGTTTCCTCCCAGGCAACTTTCACTTGTTATTTATGGCAAAGGGAAGACCAATCAGAAGTGTGTTATTTAAAACTTCATTGTGAGCTATCTTACAGTCTCACTCTCTTTTTTATCACTCTATTTTCTTTCTCACCTTCACAGCCTTTCACCATCTAGTCTAACTTGTGAGTTGTATCGGAAGGCCCTGTGGTGGTCTCTCATTCTCTCACTAGGAATGGCCACATTCTATCTGATTTTTTTTCTTTCCTTGATAGAATAATTCCTCCCGTGCATGGCCCTGATATTTGTCAGCTTAAAGGCTGCTGCGGATTCTGTCTGTCAGTTGCCGTGACAGCAGCGCATGCTTATTTGCCCTGTTATTTTGAGCAGTGATTGACAGCCGGACAGGCTTGACATTCTCAGCTGCGGCGGAGCCTGTTATTATGCGAACATTAACATTCCGATAAACACATGGTCCACCATTGAAAAAATTATTACACATCATCATTCTGCTGTCTCAAAGTTGTAAGAATATGAGCGTGCGTCTGTGTTTGGGGTGGATTTCTATGCATGTGTGAACTTTTTTTGTTGTTGTTGCCGTTTTATTGCAGCCCCACGTTTCTCGTTTTCTGAGCCAAGGGGCAGCATTTGCACTTTTTCCTTCCATATGGATTTATGCGGTTAAGCAAATCTGCCCCCTGCAAGTGTGATGCCGTTTGTACAATAGCAGTTGATTTTGTACATTATTTAAAGGACTGTAATGGTGCCTTGATTTGACTGATAACTTTAATAAAGTGAGCACCCTTTCCCTGGATTGCTGAATGAGGGTTAGTGTGGTTCTATTTCAGTGAAGACCATAAACTCAGCCCACTGTTTTGCTTTTCATAGAGAAAGAGTGGTTTTGAAAGTGCATGGAGCCAGAGATATAAAACGAAGCGATGCGCAGAGGAGAAGGAAATAAAAGTGTATTCAAAACCAGGAAATACCACCGAGATAGTGAGAATGAACCAATGTGATGGGATCTTGGGTAAATGGATTCTCAGAGGCTTCATAAAGGTAATCTCAATGCACACAGAACAGAGTTCAAAGGAATCACTGAAGCCCGTACAGCTAAAATTCAATTTCTATTCCTGGCACTGATATCATTTACCATTGGTGATAATGGGCTGAATAAGTCAATGAAGTTGGACACTATGAGACTCATCTGCATTGCATCTTTTCAGAGCAAAAGCATTCGTAATGTCAGCTTGATGAACTGAGACTCATCTTGATGAATGAATACATTGAATAAAACACAAAAAAATGAATCTAATGAAAAAACTCAAATCACTCAGAAATTGGAGTTTTATAACACACACACACACACAATACCTTTTAAAGGGAGCTCAGCTAAGAATGATTCATTTTAATAATGAGTTGTTGCAAACCTGACTGACTTTAAGGAACGTTACAGAAGATATTTTGAAGAATGTTCAAGTCCATGTTTTTTTGGACCTGACCATTTTTTATATTTTTTTGGCACTCCAAAGATGAAAGAAAGTCATACAGGTTTGGAAGGACATGGGGTATGTACCATTTTAAATTTTTCGGGTGTACTACGCCGCTATCAACTGCAAAAGTATCCTCATTCTCAAGTGTCCTTTTTATGGGTTTGTACTTCCTGACGAGTTTAGCAGAGAACGAGTGACCTAGCATCTATCGAAAAGGTGACTGACTAAAATGGCCATGTAAAAACTCAGCTCAGCATCTTGCTTTAGTGGCTTGTGCGTCTGTATGCAAGAGCAGACACGAGACAACAGCTCCATATCGCTCTCCATTAGCATCAATGATGTGGCAAAAATCCTGGCGTCAGCAAGACTACCTGTATATTATGGCCCTGCTGAGAGAATGAAGCTAACAAAGAGAAAGAAGAAAAAGTTGCAAGCAAAGCAGGAGGAGTCAGCTTAAAGTAAAAAAAAAATTAAATAAATAAAAAATTGGCAAAGAGTACGATGTAGTGAAATGGAACAATATTAAACCTCAGAGGAGAGGTGACTGACCGGCACTGTTTGTGTTTCGGTGTGTTTGTCATTTCTGCTGAGAGTCGACGCTCTTCCTTTTCGTTCGTATCCCCACGGTCCTCCGAAATCTCTTTCTTCATCCATCCACCTTTCTGGGTGCATTCCATTCTTTACCTCCAGCCTCTTCATCAGCCTGACAGGCGGCACGCTGTCCTGAGGGATCGCTCACGGTGAACTGCTCTCCACAAAGGCAACCGTCCAGTCGTTCAAGGTGTCAGTCATGTGTAAATCAACAGTGGTCAACACTATCTACTCACTGAGTCCGTCAGAACGCAGCCTGTGTTTTCTTGCCACAAAAAGGGCCATTACATCTTACGCTTACGGAGGAAACGCTTTCCGAGACCCAGTCAATTTTAGCACCTTTCTTTCAGAACAAGTGTTCAATTATTAAATCTTCCTGTGGCCTTCAGACACACATTAGTCTTGTTCTTTTGTCCCGGCCTACAGGAATGGTTTTATCTCTTTAAATACTCAAAACACAAGGCCAAGCTGTCAGCCTGCTTTTGCTTTTTGTCAGCTAAAAGCAGCCGTTGATGTGCCCCGTGTGTGTGGTTTCTTCTCAGCCTCGCTCTTCGGGCAGTAAAAGCAGAGGGAGGGAAGAAAAGAAGAGAGACTGTCCGCTGTTTGTTGATGAGTGCTGTGGGAGATGACGATGGTGTTTGGATGGGCTAGTAATTGACTAAATGAAGCTCAAGCTGATTTAATTAGAGAGAGAGAGAGCTGGAGAGAGAACGAGGTGGAGCTTAAAAAGAGCGGGAGAGTGAGACAGATAGGATACATGTTGGCACAAGCTAAAACCAAGCCAGAGGTAATTAATCAGCAGGAACTGTCCCCAAAAGAGGCTGAATCCCTTAGAAATGCATTTGCGGTGTTTAATAGCTTGTAATTGAGTCGTATCCTTTGAATTGTGCAGGTCCCATGAGTACAAGCACCTCTAGGAGGAGCAGCGGTGTCGAGAGATAATCACCATTCTGAATCCACTTTGAATGTGCGGGTGCACATTTGTGCGTGAAGATAAGGCCCCTGAGGGCAATTAAAAACTTGGAACACTTATATCTACAATCGTTTATTAGGTGATCATCCACATACAATTGTTTATAAGAGAAGCATTCCTAGTCTATAAACACCAAAGGATTCCTGAAAAATTGATTCAGCAACTTTGGCAAGGGGATATGAGTTTTCCCTAAGCCAAACCTGGCTGTGTTGTTGAGCACCTCTCCTGCTGGACTCTGACCTGGATTACTGAGCTGGCAGAGAGATAGACCGGCTCCGTCTGCCAATAGGTTGTGCCTGTGTGCTTATATATAGACCGCTCCTTTGTCTGTCTGCCCCAAAATTACCCACGCCAGGCCTCCCCTGGGCTTGATCTCTGGCCACTCTTTATCTCCCATTTTCTCTCAGGTAGGCCGGTGACCTTTCCGAGGCGTCCACCCCGCGTGTCCTTTCGGAGGTGCCGGATTCTGACCTTTCTGGGCCTTTTAGCCACAACAGGTAATCAATTAGTGCCCAGCTAGATTATCAGAGCCAAAGGTGAATGCTTGCGAGCCAGAGGTCCTGTAAATGTTTTCACTTAATGATTATCTCGCACTTCGGTACCCTCACCAAGGAAAAGAAGGACGGTTATTCAGGAAGTATGAGGAGAACCC